GCAGGACAAGTGGCATATCTCAGAGTGAATGCTTATATGGAAGCTGAAAGATGAGAGACAATCATTTTATACCCTAAACTTGGAAGTGATATCCTATCACTGCTGCCTACTCACTAGAAGCAAGTTTCTAAATCTAGCTCACACTCAAGAGGAGATGGTTACACAGAGGTGTGAATGACAGGAAGTAGGGATCATTGGAGGACATGTGAGAGGCTGCCTACCACAGGGTAAGAGAAGGGAAGAAACAGTAGGAGAAGAAATTAGTTGGAATGGATTAAAGATCTGAATGTTGTAGAAGACTTTGCTCCATATGGTTATTGAGGATGCGAGTTTACAAAAGTAGAAGTTTTTAAGTACAGAAATGGAACATTAAATTCGAAATATTGGAAGTGGAACAGTCATTGTTTATGACCTCTTTAGTTAAAGACTAAAGGAAAATGTGGTTGAGTTGGTATGAAGGAAAATACAGAAATGGAACTGAAAAGATAGTGTGACATATAAGCCATCTACATGGATGCTGAAAACATGAGAAGACTGGATATTGGATGGGCTAAGTTAGCAGTTAAAGGACTGCATGAATAAAAAGTAAAATTTGAAGTCAGTAAAAAGACAGCAAAAAGGAAGAGGTGAGGCTGCCAAAGGGAAATTACATAACCTCCAAGAATAAAAGGGGTATAAAAGTGAGATTAGAAGTAAATATTTGAGGGCGCCTCAGTCGGTTAAGCGTCCGACTTCGTCTCAGGTCATGATCTCATGGGTTGTGGGTTCAAGCCTCGCATCGGGCTCTGTGCTGACAGCTAGCTCAGAGCCTAGAGCCTGTTTCAGATTCTCCGTCTCTCTGACCCACCCCTTCTCTCGCTGTCCTCTCTCTCCCAGAAATAAATAAAAACATTAAGAAGATTTAAAAAAAAGTAAATATTTGAAACCAGCAATGGAGAGCAAAGACACTGATCCCATCTACCCATAAATCCTAGTTAATCAGTTTGGAAGAAGCATGCATGTAACTGGCTTCCACTTGGCATGGTTGCAAGAGATGCCATGACTTCACAAAATAGCAGTTTTCAGTCAACAGAAAGTACAAAGAGAACATTCTGCATAAAGGTGTGTTGAAATAGAAGAGCAAGGAGATCTAGATGGCAAAGAGGAATAATCTGGCAAAAAGAAAAATAATGGGTCAGGATTGGTAAGGAACAGAGCTGGAGAGACACAAGAGTTCAGAAATAATAGGTAGTCAATTGACCTCAATCTCTGGTGTTGACTAAGGTGCTGGTACTCACAACGTTAGTTCTTGTCATCAGTATTGGTAGGGTTGGAACTCAATCTGAGGGAAAAGAATGATCACAATGAGGGAAGAAAAGAATGTAATAGGTTGTCTTTACACTGGCAGATGGCAGCAAGGAAGTAAGGGCGAAGCCAGTAAAACTATGGAGATCTTAAAAGTGATGGTAGAAAAGAACATTTCCAATATTTGGCTGGGGCAGTTTTGATTCATAGGATTTTGTGGCATTTTTTTTTCTCATTGTTTCCATGTCTTGTGAGACACCTTGTTTAATTTAGAAAATACCAAGAAGAACCATAGAAACTACTTGTTCATGCCCTTCCTTTCCTCTGAGGAAACTGGAGTCCAGAGACTTGGACTATAGCTTCTTGCCTATAACCAGGTATATAATCAGTGTCAGCTTCAGGGGTAAAAATGAAGAATCTTTATTTATAGTTCATTTGAAATCCTAGAAATTAAAGATAATGGCATAAATACAGCAACTTCATATAAAAAATAGATAAAAATAACTGACAAGGTAAGAATTTGGGGTAAATTCACATTTAACTGCAAACATGTATTTTGAGCTTTTAAAGTCCATATTTTCCAAGACACTTCTATAACACACAAATGTGACCTCATGTGGTACCTACCCATGGCATTTCCTGAATCACAAATGAAGCTTTTGGAATTGATGGTCAAAAACTTTTTACCTATGTGTTTCACATATGTTATTGTAGAGGAAAATAATGGTAAAAATGTAAACTTGATGCAAATGAGTTCTTTGGTAAAAAGTATCCTGGCTGTGCCTGGCATGGGGCAAGTTTGGACTAAGTAGCCGAGGATAACTAGCAGTTCATATATCCCTTTGCTCTACTCTACCCTTCTACTTTTTAGTACTTTTGTCATGCATCTTCTATTTAGGGATGGCCAATTAGAAAATGGCCTTTTTTCCCCCTTTTCTTTTAGATAGAGAACTGAGAAGAACCAGCGTAGGTCCTGAGAAACTTCATTTTTTAATATGAAGAAGAAAGAAGAAGAGAGGAAGAGAAGGAGGAGGAGAAAGAATAAGGAGAAGTTCTTTCAGTTCATAGTAAATATGCTAATTTTAAGCATAAAGTAAGTACTCTCCCATTTAATCATGTAATATTTTGATAATTTTATTAACATAAAATAAAGCATTAGTTGATTAGAGTAAATAATAAGATAGTTGAAGTTCATATTTCTGAAGTTGTTACATTAATTTCCTTTTATTATGGAATTAGTGGTTGTGAAAAGTCTTTGTGTATATGTGTATGCGTGTGTATGTGTGTATTGGAGACATTAAGCATTGAAAAATTAGAGCATATTGAAAAAGAATAATCCACCAACTTATTTGTGCTTAAAGCCTTACTGAAGAAAATTATAAAACTTAGAAGTGGTAATAGAGTAATACCACAAGGAACATGAGAGAAAGGGTTAAGGGAGAAGAAAACCATTTCTAAAGCTAAGTAAGCATATTTAAAACATATTCTTATCGTTTGAGTCTGAGAATTGTGCAAGTGATACTGAATCTTAAAATTCACTAAAATTTACTAAACAGTAAAAAAATAAAAGCCAATAGAAGTAAAACAGAGAATTTATTTCTTAGATTTCTTAGAAATCTCATTTCTCTTAAGTAATCTTTAAAAATATATAATTAAGAGATACATTTTAAAGATTTACATGCCTGGCCCAATTAAAATACAAGATGATATTTGATGTGTTAATACTGGTTTCTCAATGGTCCTTTCAAAAGTTGGGAAGGAAACTTATATGAAAATTAGTTTATGTAATTAATCTGGTAGTTTTGGGGTGAGAACACTTTATATGAAAGAGAAATATAAAGGAGTATAGGGAAGCCATCCTCCCAAATACATATATAATAACAGAAATATATGTTAATGTATTATATATATGTGTGTGTACACACTTAAATATAATGTATGCATACATAAATGCATGTACATATGTTTGTTAAATATGAATATGTGTTTGTATGCATACAGACATACACAGATACAAAGATTAGTGAGAAGCAAGTGGAGGCGAATAATTATAATGTGAAATGGTGATTTTTAAAATGTATTAAAGCATAAAAACAGCCCAATCTCAATAGGGAGGAAAGGACACAGAGAGCCTAGAGTGTGTAAACTGCTGCCCTTTTTATTGTTGGGTCAATGTGTCAGAGGTGCTTTCACTTGGAACATAGTGCAGACGTGAATCAGGGTGGCTCTTCCTTGGGTCTGCCTTTGGAATTGTGCTCTTGTGAGGGTCTAGAGACCAGATTCTCCATATATGGTTCTTTTTGTGATTCTTGATTATGACCCCCTGAGGAAGTCAGACCAGCCTGGGGTTACTGGAGATGGTGTCTTGCTTGGCATATTTATCATCCACAAATCATCTGCTATAAATATACCTCAGCAGGATCATCATCAGGCTGGCTCAGTAGCCTGCAATTTATGAAGGTTATGGGAAACAGTGTGAAGGGTGAAGTGCTTTATTAAGGGTGGCTTTCTCCCTGACCCAGCCCTGTGTTCTACTTGAATATAAATGACCCTGGGAATGTGTGCTCCTTTCCATTTAGGATTAAGTCTTTTTAAATTATCCCTTTCAGCTGTTATTCTTATGTCACTATGTCATGACTTCAAGATTTTCTAAGAAACATCAGAATCACAGTGTTCAAAGATAATGTGAGTAATTACTAGATGCAAGATAGCTATATATCTGAAACTCTTTTATTGTTTTATTTTTATATACAAATCATGCAAAACATTCTTTTTACCATATATTAGCATCTGTCATTAATCTCTATTTTTGCTTGTTACAAAACAACAGAACTGACCAAAATGTCTTGCAAGTATCATAATTATAATCTCTATGGAAGTTGAAATAAAGGAAATGCGATTCTCCTTTGTATTGCTGAACATTTGTTTTTAAAAGAAAATATGTTTGCTTAAGACACAATGTTTCGGATTACATCCTAGACATAAACCTCATTTTCCTTTTGCCTTCCCTTAAAAGAATAAAAAATATTGTAATGAACCAAAATGATACAAAACGAAAACGCCACACAGGCTGCTCTCTCAGCCAGTGAATGTTCCTGGAACACGGTTAAAGCTTGTTGGATGGGGAATGATTAACTGTTTCCCTTACAGGGTATTATTCTGAACACTTGTCCTAGAAGAGAGCGCCTTGAAGAGGGTCACCCTATTAATATGTATTAAGAAGGGCCAATTTTAATATTTCAAACAACTCCAGTGAATAAAGATCATTGGCACCTTTCTATTTTCACTATGGTCATCTTTTAAAATAATGTTCTTGGCTCTCCATCTGCCCCAGGGGAGAGGAACAACAACAAGAAGAAAAATGCAGAAAGAGTACGGAGAGAAGATGGAAATTTGTTTTATTCAACTTCACCTGCCGCTCAAGCCACTCACCCTTAGGAAGGCTCCGGCACTTCATCGGAATTACCCATTCTGGTCTCCCCCACCGAATCACCACACTATTTTGCCACTTGTTTTGCAAACCACCAACTGCGTTTACAAGTGGAAACATAACCAGTAGTCGAATGACCTTTTGCAGCATTGTATCTGAAGCTAGTTCGTCAAACACTTGTCAGCCAGCTGTCCAGGGGGCCAAATAAATAAAGGTGGGGAGTGGTGGAAATTCATCGTTTTGTTGCTGCTAAGTCGAGAATCTGGAAGCCTTTCCTCCCCCTTTCCCTCGTTTTTTTTTTTTTTTTCCTTCCTACCCCTGTCCACAAACCTGTTACTAGGGAAACTTAAAAGAATCAGATACATTAAAACAAAAGTTTAGATCCCACACCCATGATCCCACTGCCGAGCAGAAAGCAATGCAAGATGCCCAACCTCGGTCGCCGCACCGCGGTCCTGACAAAGCCTGTATGTAGCCAGAACAAACAAGATGTTAATTGCAGCCTCGCTGAGAAAAACTAGTATTGTTCCAGCTGGAGACACGCAGCATTTCGGGAACTGAGCTGTGCCCCGTCCGCTGAGGACTGGATCCATTCATCTGAATCTCAGCGGTGAAATGACAGCTCTTCGGGTGCGACAGGTCCGCGCTGAAAGAGAGAGAGAGACGATCAAGTCCAATATTTACTTCCCACCCCTCAGAGTCGCCTTCCAGTCTTCCGCACCCCCCTCGCTTCGTCTCCCAGTGAGTTTCTCTTACAGTTGGTCGCCGCCAGCCCCAGCGGTGGGAACTGAGGATGCGAAAACCTCCCAGACGCAGAAAATACCGCTTTCGGGACGTGCTTGGTTTTGAGTAGCCGTGACGTGCAGGCTCACCGCGGCCCTGGCTGGAGCACCGCGCAGCCCCCCTCCCGCCCACCTCTCTCCCGCCCTCCCGCCGGGCCTCCCTCCTTTCCCACCCCGCCGCTCCCCTCCTCGTCTCTCTCTCACACACACACCCGCCCGCGCCCACGGGACGCAGAACTACGGGAAGGCACAGCTGCCGCGCGGCGCTCGTCGGGCCTCAGGCCGGCCGCCCGGCGCACCGTACTTGTGCGGGCGCGGGGACGCGCGCGCGCACGAGCACGCGGGAGACCGGCGCGCGCGCGCGCGCCCCCGGGGACGCGCACCCCCTCCTTGGCGCGCGCCCCGGGGAGAGCGAGCGCCGCGCGCCGGCGCGCACACCCGAGACAGAGCTTTACTATCTCTCTCCCTCTCGCGCCCCTCCTCGCTGGGCATTCAAACAGCTTTCCGACATCACCAGCCAAGGATTTTTCCCCCCCTCTCCTTAGTCGCGGTCCGTCCATCAGTACCTGCGGGGGGGAGGAGGAGGAGGAGGAGGAGGAGGGAGGAAAGCGGAAAGAGGAAAGAGCATAAGCTTGAGCCTTCCGATCCGACCACGAATACTCCTGTAATAAACCCACCGCCCCAACAAATCTGCCTTAGCAGCCGCTGCCGCCGCCGGTCACTTCTCGTCTCAGCGCTTTCTTTGCTTCTTGGCTCATCGGTTTGTTGGGGGTAGATTTGATAAAAACAAACCCTTGCTTTTAAGCCACTTGCATATTTTTGTTTCTTTAGAGTGTCTCTACGGGGGGCACCCCCTCCCTCGGTTGGAGGTTGGATTCAGTTGGCTACGGCGTCAGGCTCCGGGGTTCTGGGGGCTTTTCCTCCCAGCCCTCCCTTCTTTGATTTTACCCCCATCTTTTGCTTCTCTTAAGTGTGCATTTTTTTAAAAAAATAAATCCTGATTTTTGAAGCCGAGCCGGGGAAAATGGGCAACGGTGATTGGGACCGAAGGGGAGTCTCTCCGTCACTGTTGCTGGGACGCGTGCCTGTGCTGGTGTCTTAGAGCAAGAGCCTCCCTGAGCTTTCGGAGTGGAAGGTAAGGAAGGGGGTCGAGGGGTCACCTTCCCTTTGCCAGGGGTCGCCACCGAGGAGCTTTCGTCTAGGTGTTTGCAGAGGGAGGACAAGGAGAGGAAAGGCTGTTGCTGGCAGATGGAGGGACTACGACCAAACCCGACTGTCTCTGCATTTACTTAAACGCCGCAGTTGAAAAGTTAGAGAAGTCTTGTTTTCCAAGAGATGTGCTGGGTCGGAAGGAATAGGCAGGGAGACCCAGAAAATCTGACGGTTACGTGTGGTTGGGGTGATTTTGTGAGGAGAAATTTTAAGGTTAGAAGGAAGTTAAGACGAGGGGAGGCAGTGGGTCTTCTATTGGGGAAAAGATTTAGTGGAGTGATGGCGCCGTCTATGTTCGACTGAACTAAAGTGTCACCCAGAAAATCAGTTTTGAGAATAGCTAAACTAAATGCCGGTTTGCTTCTTAGCCGGACACAAATAAATAAATAAACAAATAAATAAATACAGCATCCTTGAGACCTTGGTAGCCATCCCTTAGACACCCCCACCCCATTCTTTCTTTCTTAAAAAAAAAAGGGGGGGGGGTGAAATACAATTGTTCGAACTGGCCCTGCAGTCGGGGGCGGGGGTGGGGGGGCGGCAGAGTTAAGTGATTCATTTTTGATTCTTTAGTATAAAACAAGGCTCCGTACACTAAGGTTTGAGGATTAAAATAAAGAGCATTATATTGAGGGGGCTCTCTTGAGCAAGCTTGAAAGTGAAATCAGAGCTATTTCCTCACTCTTTCTAAACCTTGATGAGCACAGCAATGCAGACATGCACTGTCAAATAAATGGAAGCAAAAGTACCGGATTTCATTAGGAAAAGAAATACGACCTCTTTTTGAGTTCCCGGTTATAAAATGAAGCCCCCTTTCATGGATGGAATTCCTAATTTAGACACTTATTGTCACATTGGCTCTCAACGCCTACACTCTATCCTGAAGAACACTGCGCAGACCTGCATTGCCTGCAAAGTGCTACAGCAAAAAAGGAGGAAATTATTTCCAGAATTTCCTGCAACTTTCCCAATTTTTTAACCTTTAAATGCTCATTGGCTTTATTTTCTCAAGAAGAAAATGCATTATTCATTGAGCTATATACTTGAAACAGAGAACACTGTTTTGATAGTCCCAGCAGTTCTGATGTTATTTTAAACTGCTGCTATATAGGGATTTAGAGTTGGGGCTGTTTTCTCCTATATCAAGACATAAAATTTGAATTATGATCTGGAAAATGCAGATCTATCTTCAGGGACTTCGGTCACTGGTATTTGTGTGCATGCGTTGGTGTGTGTTATGCAACGGAAAGGAAGAGGTTTTTATCCTTTGGTTCCGAGAGGACCCAGGCAAAGACACGAAAACTCTTAACTGTCTATATGTCTGTATGTCTGTCTCTGTTTACAGAACAGTGGAAGAGACTGCAGCCTAAAGACTCTTACAATTAACTTGGCATCACTTTTCTCAGCTCAAAGGCTAAACAAACAAACAAAAAAAGCAGTGTCATTTATTCTAAGAAATAACTCCTTAAAGGTTAAAGCTGAAAAAAATTCAAGTTATTTTTGGATAACAACTTACAGAGGTAAATATAACCAAGGATTACTTTATTATGCAAGGCCAGTTTAAAAACCATAAAGAAAAGGAGCTTTGGAGCTGTTGTTGGAAAGGGAGCAATTCAGTAATTGAAATCTGCTAGGAAAGAAAATGCTAATGTCTTTTATCTACCATGTATAAATCTTAAATTACAGTAGATAACTCTAGATAAAATAGCCCTAATTTAAAAAAAATTAAAAAACTGAAGCCAGCTCAATTACTGTGGTTCTGGGATTTTTCACCGACATCGCCTTTGGATACAGATACTAATACAGTGATCCACTCTATGTATCCTAAGAGGGCATGTCACATTGAAATGACTGCCTTAAATCTTGGTTCTCAGAGGTGATATTCAACAACAAGTCTTCCTATGTATCTACCCATCTATGCCCTTTCTCAGATAATGGGTTTAAAATTCTACTAATCCAAATGAATGCTGGTGTTTTTGCATAGGAATTCCCATCAGTTCACATGGTGGTCCCTGCAAAGACAAGTGTTGGCATTTGGGAGATGATATTTCATCTGCAACAAATTATCATTTGTGCTTTTAAAATTGTGGCTATCCTTTATCAAAATTGCTTTTCATATTCAGGGTAAAAGAAATAATGTGGTGACAGCTGTTCCCAGATTATCAGATTAGATAGTGTGTGATGATGTTTTCTGCAGGCCGGCTGAGGGAGAGAAAAGATTGTATAGGTTGCTTAAAAAGATTTCAGAAATTAAAAACTTAGGTTATGATTTTTTTTTAAAAGTACGTTTTCCTCTTCTTTCAATAGAATCACAAGGCATTTGGAGGAGGTCCTGGTAGATAAATTACAGCATTCCTGTTAATAATCTATTAAATATTATTTTTAAATTGAATTTAGAAAATTTGGTCATTGTGAACGACCACGTGAGGGCGCTGTTCACACAGCCACCGATAATTTCCTAGCATTATAAAATAAAAAATTACCTGCCCTTCTTTTAAAAAGGGTTTTTTTTACTGAAATCTTGAAAACAGCTGGCTTTAATATTGGAAGGAGTTTCTTTCTTCAATGCGCATAGACTCCTACTTGCATTTTACTTTCATTGCCATTTTTACAGGCCAAATGACATAGGATGAAGGCTGTTCGTAACCTGCTGATTTATATATTTTCCACCTATCTCCTGGTTATGTTTGGATTTAATGCTGCCCAAGACTTCTGGTGTTCAACTTTGGTGAAGGGAGTCATTTATGGATCGTATTCTGTAAGTGAAATGTTTCCCAAAAACTTTACAAACTGCACTTGGACGCTGGAAAATCCAGATCCAACCAAATATAGCATTTACCTGAAATTTTCCAAAAAGGACCTTAGCTGCTCTAACTTTTCCCTCTTGGCTTATCAGTTTGATCATTTTTCCCATGAAAAAATAAAGGATCTTTTAAGAAAGAATCATTCTATAATGCAACTCTGCGATTCCAAGAATGCTTTCGTTTTTCTACAATATGATAAAAATTTTATTCAGATACGTCGGGTGTTTCCAACCGATTTCCCAGGATTACAGAAAAAAGGGGAAGAAGATCAGAAATCTTTTTTTGAGTTTTTGGTATTGAACAAGGTGAGCCCAAGCCAGTTTGGTTGCCATGTATTATGCACTTGGTTGGAGAGCTGCTTAAAATCAGAAAATGGGAGAACAGAATCATGTGGGATCATGTATACAAAATGCACCTGCCCTCAGCATTTGGGAGAGTGGGGGATCGACGACCAGTCGCTGGTTTTGTTAAATAACGTGGTGTTACCCCTGAATGAGCAGACCGAGGGCTGCCTGACCCAGGAGCTGCAAACCACCCAGGTCTGCAATCTTACCAGGGAGGCCAAGCGACCACCCAAAGAAGGTAAGTGCCCAGCAGAGGGGGAGATGGCATTAAGATGTGATGTTTCAACACACAAGCTTAATCATTGCTCTTTAACTCTGTCATCTTTGGAGTCATTTGGTTTGTTATCTTCACTAATAAAGGTCTCTTAAGCTAACTTTAAGTTTCAACATTTCTGAGATGGGGTTGTGAGGATGGGATAGCTCTCATCAATATGCCCTGGTAACCTGTGTGGAATATTCAGGAGGAAAGAGAGGCAAAAACGTGGAGCCAGTTAGCCCTGGAGGTTGTTGGAGGGGGTGAGGGCTCTTTATTGGCTGCAGCCTCTTGGGGAGATGGAGATATATACATGTGCTCTCTCTCACACACATACATCTGTGAAAAGGATTTGTAGGATTTCTACCTTATTCTACAGCCCTGCAAAAAAGTAACCTTCACGTCATTTAGCCTTTGCCCTGTCTCACTGTCTCAACCATGACCCCTTTAGTTGTACCTCCCTAAGTTGGGGA